GCAACTACAGCAACTACAGCAACTACAATAACTACAGGAACTACAGCAACTACAGCAACTACAGGAACTATAAGAACTACAGCAACTACACGAACTACAGCAACTACAAGAACTACAGCAACTACAGGAACTACAGCAACTACAGGAACTACAGCAACTACACGAACTACAGCAACTACAAGAACTACAGCAACTACAGGAACTACAGCAACTACAGGAACTACAGCAACTACACGAACTACAGCAACTACAGCAACTACAAGAACTACAGCAACTACAGGAACTACACGAACTACAGCAACTACAGGAACTACAAGAACTACAGCAACTACAGGAACTACACGAACTACAGCAACTACACGAACTACAGGAACTACAAGAACTACAGCAACTACAGGAACTACAGCAACTACAATAACTACAGCAACTACAGAAACTACAAGAACTACAGCAACTACAGGAACTACACGAACTACAGGAACTACAAGAACTACAGCAACTACAGGAACTACACGAACTACAGCAACTACAGGAACTACGGCAACTACACGAACTACAGAAACTACAGCAACTACAAGAACTACAGAACTACAGCAACTACAATAACTACAGGAACTACAGCAACTACAGCAACTACAGGAACTATAAGAACTACAGCAACTACAGGAACTACACGAACTACAGCAACTACAGCAACTACAATAACTACAGCAACTACAGCAACTACAGCAACTACAGCAACTACAGGAGCTACAGCAACTACACGAACTACAGGAACTACAGCAACTACACGAACTACAGCAACTACAGGAACTACAGCAACTACAAGAACTACAATAACTACAGGAACTACAGCAACTACAGCAACTACAGGAACTATAAGAACTACAACAACTACAGGAACTACACGAACTACAGGAACTACAGCAACTACAAGAACTACAGGAACTACAGGAACTACACGAACTACTGAACTACACTGTTACAATAACTACATGAACTACCACAACTAATGAACTACACCAACTACTAACAATTATTATTATTATTATAACTGAGTAAAATACTTGTACTATTTACATTTAGTGACGGTATACAATGTCCGTATGAGGTACTATATTCGTGACGGTAATCATGATGTTGCTGTAGTTCTTGTAGTTGCTGTAGTTGCTGTAGTTGCTGTAGTTGCTGTAGTTCTTGTACTTCTTGTAGTTGCTGTAGTTCGTGTAGTTGCCTGTAGTTCGTGTAGTTCCTGTAGTTGCTGTAGTTCTTGTAGTTGCTGTAGTTGCTGTAGTTCTAGTAGTTGCTCAGTGTAGTTCTTGTAGTTCGTAGTTTGTGTAGTTCTGGTAGTTCTATCCTAAACTACGCGAACTACGAAAACTACAGTGTAGTTGCTGTAGTTCTTGTAGTTCCTGTAGTTCTTGTAGTTCTTGTAGTTGCTGTAGTTCCTGTAGTTGCTGTAGTTCCTGTAGTTCGTGTAGTTCGTGTAGTTCTATCCTAAACTACAGGAACTACAAGAACTACAGCAACTACACTAACTACACGAACTACAGCAACTACAGCAACTACAAGAACTACAGCAAACTACAGGAACTACAGCAACTACAGGAACTACAGGAACTACAACTACAAGAACTACAAGAACTACAGCAACTACAGCAACTACAAGAACTACAATAACTACAGGAACTACAGGAACTACAGCAACTACAGCAAACTACAAGAACTACAGCAACTACACTAACTACACGAACTACAGCAACTACAGCAACTACAAGAACTACAGCAACTACAGCAACTACAGCAACTACAGCAACTACAGCAACTACAAGAACTACAGCAACTACAGGAACTACAGCAACTACAGCAACTACAAGAACTACAGCAACTACAGGAACTACAGCAACTACAGGAACTACAGGAACTACAGCAACTACACGAACTACAGGAACTACAGCAACTACAAGAACTACAAGAACTACAGGAACTACAGTAACTACAAGAACTACACGAACTACAGCAACTACAAGAACTACAGCAACTACAGGAACTACAGCAACTACAGGAACTACAGCAACTACAGGAACTACACGAACTACAGCAACTACAGGAACTACACGAACTACAGGAACTACAGCAACTACAAGAACTACAAGAACTACAGGAACTACAGCAACTACACGAACTACAGGAACTACAGAAACTACAAGAACTACAAGAACTACAGGAACTACAGGAACTACAAGAACTACACGAACTACAGCAACTACAAGAACTACAGCAACTACAGGAACTACAGCAACTACAGGAACTACAGCAACTACAGGAACTACACGAACTACAGCAACTACAGGAACTACACGAAACTACAGCAACTACACGAACTACAGAAACTACAAGAACTACACGAACTACTGAACTACACTGTTACAATAACTAGATGAACTACCACAACTACTGAACTACACCAACTGAGTAAAATACTTGAACTATTTACATTTAGTGACGGTATACAAAGTGCCGTATGAGGTACTATATTCGTGACGGTAATCATGAAGGTATTACCGGGATGCTCGTCGTCCCTTTTAGGGGTGTAAATTACGGATTTTGGTCCCCCTTAGGGTGTTCAGGACGGAACGGCGATATTTTTTAGCCATCAAGGTATCTTTTAGGGTTGCACGCGAAGAAATAATAAAAAACACCGTCATACTGTCTATAATGTATCTTTTAGGGTAAAAAAAGGCTTGGGCTACGCCCAGATTGGTCCCTTTTAGGGTGTAATTTAAAATTTCCGACGAGCAACCCCATCACTTTCATATGGGAGTCCCCCCCGGGTCATGAATATGTCGTCACTATAAAGGCTCCACTGACGATAAGAAATATCGATCATAAATAGCTGTAAATGGCGATAGCATGTCGATAAAATTAAAACAAATGCTACTTTTATTGTATAGACAATGGAGCAATTGGCTAACTTTGATCTGTAACCACAACAGGAATTGTATTGAATGTGAGACTGTTGTCACTGGAGTGTCCGTAATAAAGAGGTTCAGTTTATATGAATTTACACTCTGGGGCCGAGATTTAGTGTCCGTTGTCCGGATTAGAGAGGGTTCGTATTATAGAGGTTTTCTTTATAGAGAATATGTGGGCATTTTGCCGGGACCAAGGGAACTGTCCGTAATGGGCCTTAATCACGCGGCAGCCATCTTAAATCCCAGAGGATTTAAAACCTTTGTTTCCGCATCTGAAACCACGCGTAAACTCGTTTTGAAACGTCTGAATGCGAGGCTTGGGCCCTTGGGGAATAAAAAGCTATTGTTTTTACCAACATGGCGGGCTGTGAAAAAGGCCCAT